CTTTGTAGAAATGTTATGATGCAGATGGAATGCACTTCCAAAAAGAATATTATTGGCACTTTGAAACTTTTCACTATCACGCTCTTTTATTGAGTTATGGACTTAACTCTTTTCTCCACGCAACATAAGGAGACAAGTCGACTTAACTCTTTTCACATGTCCAGAATTTGGAGTTATGTCATTGGAAAATTTGCAAAAGGGGTTAACTCTTTTATGCATATGATGCAAAAGGAGGTAAGTCGAATTATTTTTTTCCGTCACTCAGTCAAGTAGACCCGGATATGGGGTAGCCCGTATCAAAAAAAAAAAAAGTCATTGAGGTTGCACCCTCTAAAGATCGTAAGGAACTTGTGAAGACACTGTGCAAAATCTGGGCGCCACCAGACAACGTTTTCCCGGCCCGGATCGCATTTGAAGTTAGGTACTAGAAGCGACCGCGAGAGAGGCTACCATGCTGATCCCCAGCTGCGCTCTGCTGGAGCGCCTAGGAACGACGGGGCACGGGTCAGGTGAGACCCTAAAAACCCTTCTTCCCAACTGCCAAGGTGTATCCAGTGTCAGATCAAATGCGTCCTCTAGAGGGGCGTAAGTGTAGCGATAGCCCATGTCATGTTTGACGGAACAAATTGCCAGTTTCGAATGTTTTTATTTACCGGACATCAGGGTTGCCCTATATTAAGGGTAAACCAGTCAAAAACGCCGGGTAGCGCTGACGCGATTGTGGTGGAAATTAAAGTTATTTCGAAAATGCCTGTCAGCTAGGCCAAAAACTTTACAGGCGTGTAATGTAGGTGGCCTAACTGACATCGACACAGGCGCAAATACCCTTCTTTTCCAACAAAAAAAAAAAAACCTATCGGAGCCCTGGCGCTACCTGGCGTTCAGAACGGTTGTGGTCTAGGCATGGAAAAACCCTAATTTCCGCAAATAATTTAACATCGAAAAACAAAGCTGATGAGTCGATCGTGACATAGGCTGTCACGATACTTTACTTACGCCCCTGCAGTGGACGCGGTTGCTCTGACACTGGATTCGCCGCGGCTGGTTAGAAGTAGGGTTCGTAGGGTCTCACCTGACCCTTGCCCCGTCGTTCCTAGCAGAGCCCTGCACCGAGCGAGCATCGGATGCCTACATGGCGTCCGAAAGCGGTTGTGGGAGCGAGAAGCTCGCGCCGCGCCATAGCTCCCTCTCACTCCGATTCGCTTTCGGACGCCATGTAGGCATCCGATGCTCTCTCGGTGCAGGGCTCTGGTTCCTAGGCAAGCTACTCGCTTGCAGCTGGGGATCAGCATGGTGGCCTCTCTCGCGGGCGTTTCGAGTTGGCAACTTCATACAATGGCGCCTTACGGGCAGATCGGGTTACCACGCCCGCGCCCTCCTGCGTCTTTTCTGAATCACCCGACACGAGATAGTGTGTGTCTTTCCCGAGGGGGAAATCATTTGCGAAATAGTTCGTTCACCTTCCCCCGAAATAATGGTAAAATAGAGCGAAGACCCGAAATAGTCGGTGAATTAGTCGCGAAATACCCCCAAAATACCATGAAATAATTAGAAATAGGCGAGAAATAACTGAGAAGGCAGGAGAAATAACCGAATTGGCAGGAGCAATACCATCAAATAGCCCGCACGCTACGAACTCAAGTGATATCCCCCTCTGTCTTTTGCCCAAATTATGAGTACACCACATTGGTATAGGTAACACAAGACCAATTAAAAGTTACGAGGGGCAATACTTGAGTTCCATCATTGATTGTGCAGAACCACGATGATTTTTGTCGCTGTTCTAGAAATACGTTATTTCAACTATCGGTAACACGACGGTTCACATAATTTTTTTCACACAATGGTTTTATACCTAATGACATTTCTTACAACCCAGTTCACATATTTTTTTTCACATTATTTCCGTTTTGTCTAGAGGGCACTTTGACACAGTTTCAGTTTCGTCTGAAGTGTCGTTTTGCATACGTTTTTTACACATAATTGGCTGAGCGTTAGCGAAGCCTTTGCTGTCATGAGGTGCAGGGAACTCTTTGGTTGTGTGTCTGTCTGTCTCACACACGTTTCTCAAAGATGGCAACTTCAATTGACTTCAAACTGCGCACGAAGCATCAGTATACATCGGGTCGTATCGAGTTTAGTTTAGAAGTTAAATATAAGATGTTTGAAATAAGCGATCGTTCAATTTGAATTCGTAGTTTGGTGGCGGTAGGTTGGTAGCACGGCGCTCGAGGGGAGGGGGAGCGCAAGTGGTTCTTGCGCTCACCTGAAGACTTTGATACCTTCTCAGCAGTTATTAAAATGTCAGATAGTCAAACCGAGTGTTTTAGTTTTATTTTTAGAGTTGCGGAACTTAGCCTGCGAAGTTTCGCGAGTGTCCGATGAGAAGGAACGAAAGTGATACTTGGAATGGTTTACGTGTTTACTTACGTAAGCTGGAGGGGGCGAGTGTAGTCGTTTGGGAGAAATGTGCAAAGGTGACTAATGTTTCGGGTTCATCTTGACAAAAGAAAACGAAAATGTTTTATGCCCAAAGATGATCGGAATCGAAATGGCAGAGTTATGTTCAAATGTTCAAAAAAATGTTAAATCGCCTCTGGCGGCCTAACGGTGCGTCGGAGGTCAATTCTGACGGCAGTTTTCGCCCTTAACCCAGAGGGTTACAGGATCGTACCTCGCCGAGACGAATAAAACGCACCCTTCGAACGCTCAATTTGGAGTTATCGCCCCCGAATTGACAATTTGGTCGTTTTGGCACACTTTTACCCCTTTGGTTTCTATCAACTTTGCCATTTTGACTCTGATCGGATCAGAGCATAAGACATTTCCTTTTTAATTTTGCAAGAACAATCCAAATCTGGGATTATACCAAAAATTTGAAACTTTTAGCAAATTGTAATTTTACAAATTTTTCATTGTAACTCAAAATAATGGTGTTCAGTCGTAAAACGACTAGAAGTCATTTTATCTTATAAAAAAGCATCTTTAAAGGCTAA